ATTAAAAAATATTTATGGGTTTTCTTTGGTATTTTTAAAAAAATATTATTCGAAATTTATAAATTAAGTGATCTCTAAAACTTTGTTTTGTTTTTGACCGAAACCAAACCGAACCGATCAAAAAAATGTTTACTTGGAATTTATTTTACTCAGATAATTTAAAACAAATACAAGTGTCGTGTCTTAAGGGCGTAATAAAACATGTACTATAATTTAAAAAAATATTAAGAATTAACTATATTTTTTTAATTTTAGGGAAAAAAAACATTTTTTCAAACAACTTTTTGAAATTTAGCATTTTTTCAGGTTAATTATATGAGCTTGAAACACCAAACGTGTTAACCTTTTTTGAGAAACCACAGAAACGATTTTTTATTTTATTTTTTGTGAAGCATGTTATTTAGCGATAAAATTTTGAATTATAAATAAGTTTTGATTTTAAAAGCAGTTTAATGTTTAAATATTTCAGTTAAAGATTTTGAGTAACTTAAAAAACTTTAAACTATTTTTTTTTAGCAGCTTTATAGCTTTTATTTTATTTTCTTAGGCATTTGAATTACCTAAACTCATACGTTGTTTTAATAATTTTTTCAAGTGTTTTGTTCACATTGTTATATCGCCTAACGTTACCAAAGTTTTTTTTTTAAATCTTGTTTAAACTTAAGTTTTTCTTCACAGTTATTCTAGGCTTATTTGTTTTATTTGTGTGAGTAAATGAAATGCCATGAAGCAATGCATGATTAATTTACTATTTTTTCATCAAGTCATGCTCTAACTACATTTGCGTATAGACATCAAAACTACATCAAGACGATTTTAATTTAGGTTTTAATAGGTGATCGCATTCTAACTTTCTCCATATGCAATAGGTTACTCATTTAATGAATCACAACACAGTTTCTTTTTTTTGACAGACTTCATTTATTTCAGTTTTTTAAGTTTAAAAAAGAAGCAATAATATTTTAAAGTATTATAAGTGTTTTACAAAATATATGCATACTAAATCTGTCTGAATTTTGAAAATCTTTTCACATAAATTTAAGCTGTTCTGGCATTGCAAATTTGTTTGCTTAGAGCGAAGTAAATAGTTCTATTTCTTAATATAAAATTGTTTTAAAATCCAACTACAACTAAACAACTAAAAAAGCACTATATAAAACCAATAAGTTACGAATATAACTTCTAAAACAAAGTTGTTATAAAAATGTTTCATTAACTAAGTTATTGTTTAACAAAGTATTGTTTAACAAAGTAACAAAAAATTTTACGATAAATTCAAATTTAAACTTGAATATGTAGAAAAAGAAAAAGCCTAAAGCGAGCCAAAAAGTTATAAAACTTAGTAGAGGTTCAAAAGCAAAAATTGCTCCTAGGTTTTTATTTGGATAGGAAAAACAAAAATTAGCTATCAATATGTTTCTGAAATCTACTGCAGAGACGGGTAATTTAATATCGACTCATATCGATTTTTAAAAACGAGATAAAACAAGCTCTAGGGCAAATAAAAAGTATTAAAATACCCGGTTCATACAAGATAACCATTGAATTTTATTAACATATTTTCAATTTTTTTTAAAAAAGATTTGATTGACAGTGTAAATAATGTTTCCTTTACATGAGAAATGAAAAAATCGATAAAATAACAAGTAATTTTATAATAGAAAACATGAACGACATCGGAAACTGGATACCCATATCGTTAAAAAATGAAGATTATAAGATTTTAACAAAGGGTTGGCCAACAGGCTTATAGACATTTGACCCATCAAAGTACATACCAACCAAACTGCGTGTATCAAAAACAGAATAATATATTATACTCTAAGTTATAGGAGAGACAGTATTAGCATGGCTTAAAAACGCAAGTTAAACGCTTGCATTCTTTCCATAGATCAGCTGAAAGCTTTTAATAGAGTTGAAAGATCTTTTTTGTTTAATAGTTTGTAAAAAGAATTTTTAGTGACAAAAGCGAGCATTAGAATTACAATTGGGAGCAAAACACTTTTAAAAGTTTAGGAATATTTTTCTCATATAATACAAATTTACAAGAAGAAACATATTGAACGAAGCATTTGAACAAAATAAAAAGCTCACTGCGAAAATGGGAAAACACAAACTTTCTCTAAAAGGCAGAAAGCAATTATAAACTGTTTAATTATCCCTTAAGCAATTCATTTGAGGTTTATAGCACCCTTACCTAGCAATAGAATTCTAAATAAAATAGAAGCAAAAATTATTATTTTGTATTGGCAAGGTAAAGTATGTAGACTAAACAAACTAAAAACACAACAAATGGTAAATAAATGCAGCGCAGATGTTAACAGCTTAATCATCAAACTTAGGTCCATACAATTGAAACGGGTCAGAAAAAGTTTACAACAAAGGTATACGTGGTCCTTGGAAAGATGCTATATTTTACAAATTAAATCTCCATAGAAAAACAAACCAAAAGCAAACACATTTTTGAAACTATTTCTACTGAAATCAAAATATTACTTTCTTTTTACTCTCAGCTATTAGTTAATTGGCATAGTTTAAATTCAAAAACATGTTTTACATAAAACAAAAAATAAAGAAGGAAAGCCTTAAATCTTTAATATTGATCAACCAGATGCCTGTCATAAAAATAGATCTAAGGCTGATTCATTATATTGACGAACAAGGCAATTTTTTTAATTTGTAAAACCATTTTAATAATAAAAAACAATGCATTTTTTTAATAAAAATAGTCATCATCAGTTAATATTGAATATTTAAAATTTGTTAAAAGGTGTTAAAAACAAAATTTTTGGAAAAACTAAAAGACTATAATTAAAAAAAAAACGCAAAAAAAATTAATTAAAAAGTTTATCATGTCACACTAAAGAATTATTTAATAAAAAAGAAATATGTTAAAAAGATACGACTTATGTATAAAAAAAAGCAGCTAAACAGAAAGTTTATTCATTCCAGGTTGTCACCATTTTATTATGTTATTGAATTCAGTCGTCATTTAGTTAGAACAAAAATGTTTAACAAAAAATAGAAACCTAAAATAACACAAAGACTCTTTGAATTTCTGTTGTGATTGAGTATTTAAATTAATCTTTTTAAAATAGGAGTTAAATATTTTTGAAATGATCTTTTTAACAGCAAGACCGTACAGCGGCAGGTAAAAACTAACTTAGTCAAATAAGAAAAAAAAAGAACAACTTTAATTATTTTATCTAATACTTTTTCATGAACTTTATGCAACCATTTATTCAAATTTATTTTTAAATTTTGCATATATTAAGGTTTTTTAATTTGTTTGGCACTTTTTTAAGTTGAAAAAAAGTAGTTTCTTTCGTGTGACAAATACTATGAATCATATAAATTTGGCTATTGATTCTACTTTGATGTTACTTTTAATATATTTTTTATTTAGTTGTTGCTTTTATTCTATCCTCTTTTAGGCGTTCACTTTTATATTATTATTTGTAAATCACAGTTTTGAAAAACAAGTGCCTATAGCTATTTTAGTCAACGGATGAATTAGCTATTATATTATAGCTTTAATATAGCTATAAGCACTTCTTGAAACATATGATTTAGCTCTAAGCACTTAAATTATCTTTAACAACACTTCTCATTTGATATTTTTTCTTTATGCTCAAAATTATTTTTATAGTTGTTACTGTTGTCACTTTTGAAATGCATATAGTTATGCTCAGTTTTTCATGTCCTTTAAGAAAAATGCAAAGTTTTATAGAAAGTTTTGTTTGACATGCCCAAGAAATGTGAATAATATAATTAAACTTTAATCTTGTGTAACTCGTCATTTGCCAATGCCATATCTTTTAACTTATAAACTATAAATGTTTTAGAATGCTTATATATATATATATATATATATATATATATATATATATATATATATATATATATATATATATATATATATATATATATGTATATATATATATATATATATATATATATATATATATATATATATATATATATATATATATATATATATATATGTATATATATATATATATATGTATATATATATATATATATATATATTTATATTTATATATATATATATATATATATATATATTTATATATATATATATATATATATATATATATATATATATATATATATATATATATATATATATATATATATATATATATATATATATATATATATGTATATGTATATATATACGGGTAAAAACTTCTCAAAAAACACAAAAAAACACAAATCTGCACCCTATATCTCTAAAATTTTTGAAACTTGGCACAAATGTTTATAGGCATAAGGTAGGAAAGACTGTAATTTTTTTTCATAAAATTCTTTTCCGTTTATAATTTACAGCAATTTGAAGTTTCCTTTATTTTGACTAAAAACTGAGGGGGAAAAAGTGCCGAAAATCATTATGTTTACTTTCACCTTAATATGGTGCTTGTAGTTATGCCACAATTCTGAAACTTTGTTTAAAACCTAATAAATCCGAAAAATATAGTTTTTTATTTCTCAAAACAAAGGAATGTAACTTATTTTAAGATCCATAAAATACACTTTAGAACGCCGAGAAAAATGGGCATTGACAATTTTAGCTATAAAAAAATCTGACTGATAATAAAAAAAAATTTATTTCAATTTTCTTAAAAATAAGATCAACACCTACTTTTCGAACCAATTTTGTTTTGGCCTTATATTTACTTAAGAAATTATTGATGTTTGATATAGACAAAAAATGTTTTAATATTTTTCAAATGAGACACTTAATGTAACCCCACTTTTTCCCAATCAATCAAATTAGAAACTTAAAATTTAATGACTTATTTACCTCTTTCATTTTCATATGATATTTACAACAAAATTTAAACGTATATAATTTTTTTTTAGAAAAAATACTAAACTTTAGTGATTTTATATACGCTTTACATTCTCATTATTTACAAGTTGGTTCACAAAACATAATTTAAAAAAAAAGAATGGATAAGACATAATAGACTCATAAATATAAAAATTTCTACTTCCTTAGGAAAATAATTTTACGTCCTCTTTGGCTAAATAGTAGCAAAGTTCTGTTTTTTGCTATCGGTACCTCAATTTTGCAAATAATGTGGATATTAGGAATCCAGCATTGGCTTTCTTTTGATGTCCATTTAAACAACCGTGCAGGACCATTAGGACACATAAATTTTACAAGCACATCTTTTTCTTCTAAATTAATATCTTCAATGACTTCTATTCTCCACTTTTGCTCATAGGAAACACAGGCATAATCACCTGGTACTAGGTTAACAGCTGTTATTTGGATATTTCCAGTCATGAAGTAAAGCAAATTCTTCATCAAAACTGCATAGCTTAGTGCCTACCTAAACAAAATAGTAACATATGCAATTATTCCGTTTTACTTTTCAAACATTTTTTAACAAATGCATATATAGCAAACGCAGATGAAATAAAATAAAATACAAATATTTTTGATAACGATTCTGCAAAAATCTAATATTTATTTGAGTTTATTAAAAAAGTTATGCTTGTTTTTTAAAGTATGGTAAAAGGTATAATTAAAAAACAATAATTTACCTTTTGATGGCCACGTGGTACAAAGTGATGGAAACTACGTGTTCCAGGTATTGTTTTAGCAGTATCCAATCGTTCTTTAAGAGCGGTTCTCACCAAAGTTAAATCTTTTGATGAAATATACATGAAATTTATGCCTTCAATGTTTTCATTGCAATATTTATACATTGTTTGTGGAGATAAAATATGATTATCCATATCTCTTTGCAAACTTGCTAGTGTTGCTAGACGTTTGACTGTACCACCTATCCCATAACAAGGTTGCTTACCTTGACTAGTTGCAAAAAAGTTCCATTTAGCAGAAAAACCAAAATCTTCACAATGGAAACAAAGATTTAACATATTTTTGCAATTCTTATATTTACCTGCACACCCATTTAAAAACCATTTATAATGAGATATTCAAATATGACATGGAGAAAAAGCAATTTGTTTCAAATAGATGCAATCTCTGAGGTCAAGCTGTTTTGGCGATCAAGACTTATTGTCATAAATGTTTTATAAAATGATAAAAACACTAGGAAGAATACCACACAAAATTTCATACAGGTTTATGAGCTTCTTATACCCCAACCAATAATTTCACAATATATTAAGTAAAAAATCTGATACTATAGTATCAGATTTTTCATTCACTAGCATAGGTTGTCTTTAACACAGCAAAAAAATTGGGGTGAATGCAATCTCGAGTATCTAATGCGAGGCTCCCTGTGATTAATAGAATCATTGCTCTACTAAATGAGCTAATTGAGCATAAATGGTTAAAACCACAAACAATTTCATAAATAGCATTCTTTTCCATATCTTAATTAAAATCAAATGTATAGTAAATTTTATAGTATAGATATTTTAAATGCACATGGAACTGTTTATAAAAACTATTAACTGATGTCAATTCACTGATGCATACCAAAGATTCATAGGTGCATTTGTTCCGTAATTTTTCATCCAGGTCTAGAAGTTCTTTTTCCTCTTTAACAGGCAAATAATTCCATTTAACTGATGGGAATGGTCCTGCTATGCTCTGATTGCTAACAGAAGGAAACACTAAACCTCTTTCTAAATTGATTAGGCGAGTGTTTAACTTTTTCAAATCATATTGAATACTGACAAGGCAGCTCTAAACTTTTTTTCTCAAATGCTGCAATAAAAAAATAAATCTGACTTTAATAAAAAGCCAATTAAATAGATTAGCTTTTTATTAAAGTCAACACAAAAAACTAAGATAAAAATAGTACAATTACATTCAAAAATATATAAAAGAGTACATTTAATTAAACATTCAAAAAAATAACTCATCAATGTAATCCTTTACCAGCAAATCGGGTGCCTAAAGCAGCCACAACAGTTGCTTGCCAAGCTCTTATCAGAAGAGGATAATATCGGTAGAGAGCGATTCGAACTAAATGGCTCAATAAATCAAACAGTTGTGGATTGTAATATTTTTTGGCAATTAAAACATTTCTTCAATCTTGGGGAAACTGATGGATATGTCTCCTCAGTGTCACTTGTGTTGCAACCTGCTAACTTTTTAGCTGGTGGCATGGGCAATTATTCATCACTATCAGCAGCTGTTTCAACGCTTGATGTGAACTCTAACGTTTCCATTTGTTCTACAGCAGATTCATAACTGTCTAAAAAATTTTAAAAAACGATAAATATAGCTGTTCAGATCATTAGCATCTAGCATGTGTGTAACATAAAATTAAACAAGGAATAATAACATTATAACAACACTTACCAGAATAAAAAAGAAATCTTATTTTTAGCTGTTTCCAGTTATTTTCAGGAGTAAGTACTGCTTCGCATATGGCAGTTAAATGGCGAGATGATCGCAAGTGATTTGGCCAACACACTAAACTTTCATTGAACAGCCATTACAAACAGATAACGTCCATGGCACACATGCTTTTTGTTTTTCATCAAGAAATTTAACCACAGCCAATTTTTTAAACTTTGCTGCCATCTTTAATTTTACTGTACAGCATTAGTATAAAAAAAAACATAAACAAATTTGAAAAAATAAAAAAAAATTACCAAGCAAAAAAAAAAAAAAAAAGTTTTTAGTTTAGTTTATTACATTGTAATAGTTTAAATTAGGTGGTATATATATATATATATATATATATATATATATATATATATATATATATATATATATATATATATAATATATATATATATATATATATCCAATGTATATAAAAACAATTTATATACATTTTATTTACGCCTAATAAAGTTTAAGAAAATTTTTAAGGTTCATTAATTTACAAAAACTTCATTACTCAGCTTTTTTTTTAATATCTTTAACAATACAAAATTTTTAAGAAGATTAAACAACGTCATGGAATTTTTTGAGATGGGAGAGAGGGGGGGAATTATATGAGCGATAAAGTGAGAGATAGACATATCATCAGAAAAATATTAAAAAATAAATGACGCGTTAAAAATAAATAATGAATAGCATCAAAATAAGGACTTTCTTGCGAGACAATGAAAAAAATTGTTGTTTAAATTTTTTTTAACGCTTTATTGTAATAGTTGATTGTTGTTGAGAAGTTGTCTTACCGATAGGCTAACTTTAACGACAAAGCACTTTTTGGATCAAAATCTTGAATTTGAAGCATATATCTTTAGCTGCATTTAAAGAAAAAAAACGGATCGGGTATATTGAAATGATTATAACTGAATATGATTTGTATTCGTCATTCAATTTAATACAACACTTTGATGACAATATCAAGTCTGTATAATTTGAAAGATTTTCAAGAGCGTCTAAATTTTGAAATTAAGTCTTTAACTTTTTGGTCATTAAATCGTTTTTAAAAAAAGATATAATCTAGATCATGCAGACGTTAAACATGAATGTGATCATGCACTTGAAGAAGTATCTGATGATATTTTTTATACCATGTTGTGTATGTTTTGTGCTAAACATCCAAAAAAATATTATAGATTAACACGTAGCTATTTGTTTGAGTCGTTTTGAAAACGAATGGAAGGAAATTATGGAAAGACAAAAAGAAGCCATTATGGATCAAAAAAAAGATTAGCTTTTTTAAACATGACTAACAATAACATTCTAATCATCTTAGAAACTATTAATACTCAATTGGATGCTCTGATTAAACAAATGGACTATATTGACTCTGATATCGAAAAATTTGTTACAAAATCTAAAGCGGAAAAAAAAATGCAAGAAAAAATTTTAAAAATTTACATCAATTAATACAAAACGTTATAGAAGCTGCTGACTATAAGAAAATAAAAAAAAATTGGAAGAGATTGTCATCAAACTAAACGACAAAATGTATAAGTATCCAATGACTGATAAAATCTTAATAGAATTGAATCTATTGGACTTGAGATTACAGCCTTACGAACTTTTTTATACTCAACCTACTTGTTCAGCAGACTGATATTTGTACAGAATTAAAATTTATGGTTACTATAATAAAGAGAATGTCATGGCCATTTAATTTCGATTGATGCATTCACTAATGAATTATAATTTAAAATAGTCGTTTATCAAAAGAATAAAATGCACAATTAGAAACGACGCTTGAAATTTTTCAAAACAATAGTATTGAAAAGTTGATTGCCGACTATAGCGAGCCGACTAAAAGCTGTTTTGAAAAACCTACACAAGCGTACAATATAGCTTTTGGATCAGAACATTTTGCTACACATAAAGAACTCAAAAAAGATTTTATAAAAAACAATAAACTTGTTATACAGGTTTCTTTGGAACATTTTTTTTGTATTTTATTTTGTATTTGATATAATTTGTATGTTTTTAACTGCATAAAAAAATGAAAGTTTTTTATCTTGAGAGAATTGGCCGACCATATTATAATAAAAGAAGTGAAAACATTAAAAATAATACTGGAAATTCCTTTTGGAGTTCGAGAAAAAATTAATGACGGTATTGACTTAATGGATTATAACAGTCAAAAGAACTTTATTTACAATCACTTTGAATATTCAACCATAGAATCAAAAGTGAAATTTAATTTGGAACTTTTGAAACAAATTGGAAGACATTTGTGAAAAATCTAACAATAAAAATTCCAAATCCTCCATCTTACAAAGAAGCATGTCTTGTATTCCACCTCCATATAATCAAAACGTTGAAAACCAACAGCTTGATTATCCACCTGAAGTCATTACTTGTGAACAAGAAAGACCATACAATTTATATAATAAAATATACCTTTTATTTTTAATTTATGTCTTTTTTTTTTAGAATGTCAAATAAAAAATATATTAGAAATGCTTAAATGCTTAATGAAACAAAAAAATTTTAATCAATAAAAGAAGACAAGTTTGAAGTATCAAATTACAACTATCGCCTTCTTTTCTGAAGCGGTTTTGAAACATGGTCTTTAAAAGATTAGTGTGAAAGAAAGTTGGCTCATGAAAATCTTTTACAAGCAGTTATACCAAATTTTACGAAAAAAAATTAATGATTTAATGTAACCGTTTTTTTAAACGCATCAAAAAATTTTATAACAATATACTAATAACAAATCATACAAAGAAAACTGCTTCAATGAGATTGACAAATATGCTTTAATTACATCAGATTATTTTCAAATTCAAATATTAATTATGTATGATGTACTTGATCATTTTGTAAATGCTTATTTTATAAATTGTTACTCAGTTACTAAGCAACACAGATTAATTATATTAGATTGATTAATTGAACAATGTAAATTTGTTTATGATCCTCGTTTTAAATCTTGTTATGTTTATAAATATGATTTTATTTAGAAAACAATGATTTAAAGACAAGAATTTTTTAAAATTGAAAAACTTTACCAAATACGTAATCAAAACTTTACATCTTTTTGGGATATTTATCATGATAAAATAAAGACTTAGGGCCTATGCTATAAAGCGAGTTTAAAATGTAAATTTTTCCAATGTAGCTACATTGTTTACATTGTAAAATTACACAGTCCTATAAAAAGTTTACGGCGATTTTTTGTTTACAATTTTACAATTATGTAAACTACAATTTTACACTGCCCGAGAGGTGTGTAAAATTGTAATTAATATTGAACTTTATAGAGTTAAAAATGTAAAAGTATAACAAAGATATTGAAAATAAGTAAAGTAGTGAAAACAATTATTATTTTGTATTTAGTTTACTAACTTTAAACATTCAAAATATGTAATAATTTAATATAAAGTCATTTAAAAAGCAAAACGGTTTTTTAAACTACAAATTATATTAAATATTTTGCTAATCGTGTTGTTTAGAGTACGTATACACATTTTTTAAAATTTTAAACTTTTTATAGGGATTCTTATGTATGTAGAGTTCTAAGTTTTTTTGTGTTTTAGTGTTTGTTAAAAAATATTACTATTTAATATAAAATACTATTTGAAAATACTTTAGTGAGATGCGCATCTCTCTAAAGTGTTTACAAATAGTATTTGTTATTATTAATATTAGTCTTAAATAGTATTAATATTATACTAATTTACTTATATTATTAGCATATATTTAATATTAAATACAAAAGTATGCATAAGCAAGCAATGCTTTTTAAAGTATGCATAAGCAAGCAATGCATACTTTAGTTTTTAATATTAAATGTATGCTATTGTTATAAATAAAATAATATTTAGTATAAGTATAAATAATTTATTATACTGTTAATATTATTTACTACTAATATTAATAATAACAAATACAATGCTTAAAGCATATGCTTAAAGCATAACATGTTTTATAACTACTTATTTTCTTCTAAGCAAATAAATACTTGAAGCATATGCTTAAAGAATAATATATTTTATAACTATTTACTTTTTTCTAAGAACAACTACAGAGTGCTTGTTGTTGCTTGTGTCTATTAATATTCTTTAGTTAGTTTCTTTTCCATTCTTTATCTGTTGATTCTCTTTCAGGAATCTGGTCAGTGCATAAGAATCTTTTGCACTGATCAATATGGCAAATAAAGAAACAAACAAGAAATATAACTTGAATCAGATTTCTTTTGAATATATATCTAGTTTGTGTTAAGTTGTCACTAAAATATGTGTAACCTTTTAATTTTTTAAACGCTTATTAAATGATATGATCATATGCATGCAAAAATTTATTTTAAATTGTAATTGTCATAAAATAAAATTTAAGTCTCGACTTTTACATATATTTTAAAGCATCTTTAAGTAAAATTGTTTAGTCTTTGACAAAACGACCGGCATCATTGTCATCTAACATCTTTTCGGATAATGAGTACGGCATATTAAAGAAAGCCAAAATCAAGCAGGAATTGGATATGTTAAATAAAGAGGCTGAGTACAGAGCTAAACGTCATCTGATGGAGAAAATTCGGTTTATGGCGGAAATCGAAAATATTATTCTTGAGCAACAACTTCTCCGAGCTTAAACTCAGTCTTTAACTCCTCAAGACGCCCAAACATCCGAACCAAATACTTTCAGTCTTAATGAATCATAAAAAATTTTATATTCTTTATTAAAATTTTATTACAAAACTTTGTTAAATTGTTGCAGCAATAAAACTGTTTAACAATTTTTGCCTGAACAAATTTAAAACTTTTGTTATTTTTATAAAGGAATTATATATTCCTAACTCTAGTTTAAAAAATCTGCAAAATTTGAGAGCTGCTAAGTGGTTAAAGAATATTTCAATATAAGTTATTCAAATTAGGGTCAGGTAAAAATAAAGCAAATGTCGACACTCCTCAATTCCAACCTCCCATATACCTGAACAAGACAAAAATAAGTACATACAAAATATTTTAGATATTACATTATAATAAACAGCTTTTTATTTTCCTTTCCAATACTATTGGTATAAGTAAAAACGACGCTTCATGTATACGGCTACTTTCTTAGAAACTAAACTTTATGTTCCATAGGGTTGAATTTGGTTATCAGCTGTCCAATAAAATGTAAATCTTATAACCTAATAAGATAATAACAAGAAAAAAACTCGAAATTTTTGTTTAAAATTTATTAACTTTTTTAAAACTAAAATTTAACAAACTGTGTTTATTTATATCAATTTAAAAAGTTTTCAACTACCTTAAATATAACAATTCCATCCATACAAAAACAAAGAAAACTACATAAAAAAACCAGCTATACAGAAACAAAAAATTAAAAATAGAACTTTTAGAATCTTAGCAGTCTTTCCAGATATATTAATCTGAATTTTTATAAACACCTTGAAATTTACACACATATATATATATATATATATATATATATATATATATATATATATATATATATATATATATATATATATATATATATATATATATATATATATATATATATATATATATATATATATATATATATATGTATATATATATGTATATATATATATATATATATATATATGTATATATATATGTATATGTATATATATATGTATATACATATATAAACACACATGCATTTGTGTATATATATAGATACTCATTTTTAGTTACTGGTTTTTCAAAAAGATTGATTATCTTTATCAAAAATATTGAATTGTCTTTTTTATTTTAAATAAAAATTGTTCTTTATAATTAAAAAATTGAAATCTAAGAGCAAAACACAACTGCTTTTTACCAGTTGAGGTTGTCTTTTGGTGACACTTTTTTGAAAATCCAAGAAATCTTCAACATCTGACTCTGACTCAGAATTGTTCCCATTACAAGTTTAAAATTTGCTATGAACTTTTTTTTTTTTAAAGTTTTTTATAAACTAATAAAGAACCTTTATGAAAGAAATACAAGAATTTACTTATTTATTAGCCTCTTATTTTTACTAAGAATTGAAATATGGCAAATAAAGAAACAAACAAGAAACATAACTTGACTCAGATATCTTTTCAAAAGAAATCTGATTCAAGTTATATTTCTTGTTTGTTTCTTTATTTGCCATATTGATCAGTGCAAAAGATTCTTATGCACTGACTAGATTCCTGAAAGAGAATCAACAGATAAAGAATGGAAAAGAAACTAACTAAAGAATATTAATAGACACAAGCAACAACATGCACTCTGTAGTTGTTCTTAGAAAAAAGTAAATAGTTATAAAATATATTATTCTTTAAGCATATGCTTCAAGTATTTATTTGCTTAGAAGAAAATAAGTAGTTATAAAACATGTTATGCTTTAAGCATATGCTTTAAGCATTGTATTTGTTATTATTAATATTAGTAGTAAATAATATTAACAGTATAATAAATTATTTATACTTATACTAAATATTATTTTATTTATAACAATAGCATACATTTAATATTAAAAACTAAAGTATGCATTGCTTGCTTATGCATACTTTAAAAAGCATTGCTTACTTATGCATACTTTTGAATTTAATATTAAATATATGCTAATAATATAAGTAAATTAGTATAATATTAATACTATTTAATACTAATATTAATAATAACAAATACTATTTGTAAACACTTTAGAGAGATGCGCATCTCACTAAAGTATTTTCAAATAGTATTTTATATTAAATAGTAATATTTTTTAACAAACACTAAAACACAAAAAAACTTAGAACTCTACATACATAAGAATCCCTATAAAAAGTTTAAAATTTTAAAAAATGTGTATACGTACTCTGAACAATATATAACACAGCTAAAAATTTTGGAACTGTTTCGACAGACGTTTTAGAGACAGACTTTAGGCTAGAGGCTGGATTAACTTGTACAACAATGCAAGAGCTTGATGAACTAGCGTCTTGCCCAATTGAGATTTATATAAGTTAGAGTTTTAACTTAAAATGAAAACATTGAAAATTTTAATTTTATACATATGTTGCATTTATCAACCACCGTACCACTTTGACATCTACTTTGTAGTTTTTATTTAGAATATTTATCAAAAGCTGTTATAACTGATTCAAATAACTTTTTAAAACATCTAAAAAAAGTTTATTGATTTTTAAATATGATACAAAACTACCTGGGTCTGGGATGTCTACAGAAGTATCTAAAGAAATGTTTTCATTTAGAAGGGCATTGCCACTTAAATAGCCTGCTACCATAGGCTTCAGTACATGCATCAACTATCTTATAGCTGTTGTCATCATCGCAATTTTTCATATAGCTGTTGTCATCATCGCAACTATCTTACAGCTGTTGTACATCATCGCAATTTTTTTTTATCAATACTTTCTTTCCAACTCTCATGTCATTAACATTAACTGGTAGAATATGTGGTGATTCTTTTTCAATGATCTCCATCTTAGTGCATTCATAATTGAATAATTGACCACCGTTAGCACCAGATTTGTTGAGTTTTTTAAACTTATCCATTGTTGATCTTCTTAGGTTTTCATATTCAGTTGTCCGAACATGTTCAACAGAAACAGTGGAAGAAAGACCGTGAGCTACAAGAAGATTTTAAACTTCTTGCCATTTTTCTTTTCGATCTTGATTGTTGCATAATGGAAAAAGAAAACCGATCATTTTCTCTTTGTTTTGCAAAATGAAATTAGCCAATGCTTACTAAAGAACAGTTTTCTGTTCTTTAGTAAGCATTCTCATAAAAGTTAGTTTTCTTTTACTTTGTTTTCATGTAATTATTTGATAAAAATAATCTCCTTTATATAGGATTATAAAAATATTAAATTATGCTTTTGGTTTTTGCAAAAGTTGTATAATTTTTAAACTGTTTACATACTTTATTTTTTTAAACAGTTTGTCCACACATGTAAAATAATAATAAAGTATTTGTGAAACAGTACTACAATGTTTAATGATTTGACTATATTTATAATAACACGTGTCAGAATAAAATATGCGATACGGAAGACATTTGAATAACATTTCAAGGACTTTTGTCAATTCGTATTGATATGTCTTTATAATTTTCATGTCTTTAATATAAAAACCATAAATTCTTTTACAACTATCTAATTCACTTCCTTCAGCTAAGAGAACTTTATCAAATTTAATACGTCAATTTAAATTAGTTTCCTGTAAATGTTTTTTTAAATTTAAATTGACTTGATATAGATATAAAAAAAGCGTCCGTCGCTTTAAAAGACGTTTTTATAAATGAAATTTTTTTTTATTATATCAATCTCTTCATATACAATTATTAAATTTATTATAATTTTACCCCTCATACCGTGTGTCCAAATCTTGAATAAATGGACACACGCTTTGATCATTCTTTACCGCACAGCAAAGTTCGCGCACATCAAATGAACACGAACAACATCCTCTACAGAAAACCGTTCTTCTGTGTGTTGCAAAATCATTGTTTTGTCGTCTTGATTGTCTCATAAAATAATCCATCATACGGATTTGTTCTAAAAATCTAATATTATAATTATAAAAACTATAACATTATATGTATATATATATATATATATATATATATATATATATATATATATATATATATATATATATGTGTGTTTTTGTTTTGTTTTTTTTAACATTTTCACTTCCAACAAGGCTGCAAGCAACCATTAATTACTGTTGGAAGTTACTGGAAGAGAAAAGATGAAGATTGGAGAGCAAGACAACGATTGACAGACGACTTAAAAGATTGCAAATAATATGAATCAGGAAAGCAAGATAAAGGAAGCGAATTCCAAAGAACTCATGTTAGAGGAAAAAAAACTAGACGAATAGGAGTTTTTAAAGCACTTAAGAACAGTACTAGAAAAAGGATGTGAATTAATTGAATGACGAGTAACACGAGAATGAGTTTTAGTAGATGGCACTAGAGACGCTAGCTTTTTAGAGCAGTGCCCATTATAGTATTTGTAGAAAAGAAAAAGAGAAGCAACATTATGACGACGTGACAGAGGTTGAAGGTTAGCTGCATTAGCAGGTCCAACTATGTTTACAATGCATTTTTGCATCTTGTCTAAAAGAGAAAGGGCATCAATAGAAGATCTGTCCCAGATATGGCAACAGTATTGCTTACAAGCCCGGATTTGAGATTTATAAAGATAGCGAATAGAATCCAGAGTAAGAAAGTGTCGAGCTCGATAAAGAGAAGCAACTTTAGCAGATGCTAATTTTGAAACGGATTTGATATAAGATTTCCTAGAAAGATCAGAAGCAAGAGTTAGTCCTAGAAGATGAAGGTTAGGAGACACTTCGAGTACATTATGGTTCATAAAAATAGGAAGGTCTAAATTATTGCAATAACGATTGGCTGACAAATATTGAGTTTTATCTGAATTAAAGTTCACCAGCCACTGTGAGCCCCATGCTGTAGCAGAAGTTAGATCCTTTTCAAGCTTAGATGTCCCCTGCAAGCAATCAGAAGGTGTTGGTTTCTTATCGTGACAAAAATAAATAGTAGTATCATCAGCGAATAAAGCAACCTTAGATGTGAGAATATCTGGAAGATCGTTAATGTTAATTGAAAAGAGTATCTTCAATGTTTAATCCTTGGGCCAAGGATTAAACATTGAAGAACGCCTGAGGTTACATAATAAGAAGAAGAGTGCTGTCGATCGAGGACAACTTTTATACTGCGATTGGAAAGGAAGGATTCAATAATTTTAAAGATATTTTTAGATACACTAACCCTGACTGTAAGAAAAAAGCTTGTGGAGAAGACTAGCATGCCAAACTTTATCAAACGCTTTAGAAATGTCAAGAGCGATGGTCTTAACCTCTCCACCTTTATCTAATGCACGATAAAACCTATCGGTTATTACTGATAGCAAATCAGCTGTAGAACGAGAAGATCGAAATCCATATTGATGATCAGAAAGTAGGTTATGAGATTGGAGATGAGAGATTAAGTGTTTGTTAATTAAAGATTCAAAAACCTTGCTTATGAAAGGAGGAAGACTAATGGGACGATAGTTAGACGAATCAGATCCCTCTCCACAATTTTTTAAAATAGGGATAACAGATGCTGCTTTCCAGCAGGCTGGAAAACAAGACTCTGATAAGCACTTGTTAAACAGTTTTGAAAGGATAGATGACAGCTCCGGAGAACACTTCTGCAAGACTATAACGAATATGATGTCCGGGCCGCAAGCTGTAGAAGAGTCTAAGCAGGAAATCACTTTAGATACAGAAGTTGGAGTGATACGGATGTCGAGCAATGGATCAATCTGTTTGACGGCTATATCAGGTAGAACGCAACTAGTGGAATTAAGAGATTATATTGATGAAAAGATCTTGGCCAACAATTCAGCTTTGTCTTTAGGTGAGGTGACAAAGTTTGAACCATACAAAAGAGGTGGAATTACAGTCTTGCCCTTATTATTAATACAATTAAAGATTCTCCAGAAGTCACGAGAGCCTAATTTTTGTGATGAAATAAAAGGTTTCATGTCCTGAGAATAGTGGGCTTTAGCATTAGACAAAACCTTTTTACAATGGTTCCTAGCAGTAATAAACAGACGTCTTATTTCTGAAAAAATGTTTTGCTGATAGATATGGAAGTCATGGTTTCGATAAGCAATTGCAGCAGCACAATGTGAGGAAAGCATTATGAAGAGTGAGGCTTGACCTAGAATCGTCGAGAGGGAATAACGGATTCCATACCAGTCTGAATCCACAAAAATATGTAAAAAGCACATTTGTCAACAGGAAGACGAAATATTTCCGCCCAGGTACCATCACGAAAAAAATCACGGAACAAGCCCCAGTCAGCTTTAAGGTATTTGTAAGATGTATAAAGATAAGGGGATTCGGATTGTATAAAAGAATGAGATAATAGTTTTAGAGAGACCAAACCTTGATCAAAAGCACCTTAGGGTAATTGCAAAGAAACTGAGCACTGACTAGGATTAGAAACAAGACATAATTCGAGTAGAGAAGGTAAATTATTCGGGTTGTCTGGAAAGCGAGTTAGAAAGTTGACTATTTGAGTTAGGGATTAAGAAAGGTAAAGGTAGTTGTGGGCCTTAATGCCTGCAGAGTCACTGACACTAAAGCCAAGCCATTCAGTGTGATGAACATTGAAGTCACCGACAACAACAAAATTGGCTGATGGATAAAGAGAGAGGGCTTGGTCAATATGATCAAAAATTACATCAAGAAGAGCACAGTTTTGAGATGAGGGAAATATATATATATATATATATATATATATATATATATAAATTTCACTTCGCTAGAATACAGATCTTCACCTTCCGGATCGAGTAACTGAGTTACCGCTTCTTGTGGATCGTATATTTGTGGTGGTTGGTTCGTGTTCACAAGTATATACAGTTTAACAATTTTAAAAAAAATATTACAAATAAAAAATTAAATTACATATAAAAAAAATTATAAAAATTTTTACTTACTGCTACCGGTTTTAAAAAAAGTTTCCTTCTTACTTTATTTAAAATTTGTTTTCTTGTTACTTTTGGCATTTTTTTACTGCAAGTTAATTACAAAAAAAGCAATTTATATACATTTTATTTACGCCTAATAAAGTTTAAGAAAATTTTTAAGGTTCATTAATTTAAAAAAACTTCATTACTCAGCTTTTTTTATAATATCTTTAACAATACAAAATTTTTAAGAAGATTAAACAACGTCATGGAATTTTTTGAGATGGGAGAGAGGGAGGGAATTATATAAGCGATAAAGTGAGAGATAGACATATCATCAGAAAAATATTAAAAAATAAATGACGCGTTAAGAATAAATAATGAATAGGATCAAAATAAGGACTTTCTTGCGAGACAATGAAAAAAATTGTTGTTTAAATTTTTTTAAACGCATTATTGTAATAATTGATTGTTGTTGAGAAATTGTCTTACCGATAAGCTAACTTTAACGACAAAGCACTTTTTGGATCAAAATCTTGAATTTAAAGCATTTATCTTTAGCTGCATTTCAAAAAAAAAAACGGATCTGGTATATTGAAATGATTATAACTGAATATGATTTTTATTCGTCATTCAATTTAATACAACACTTTGATGTCAATATCAAGTCTGTATAATTTGAAAGATTTTCAAGAGCGTCTAAATTTTGAAATTAAGTCTTGAACTTTTTGGTCATAAATTCGTTTTTAAAAAAAGATATAATCTAGATCATGCAGACGTTAAATATTGTCAAGGGACAAATAACTTAAATTGCTTTGTTGAGAGTTTTATGACAATTGATGATATTTATACCTGGTGTGTTACCATTTGCACCTTGCCCGTCGACATTTATTAGAACATTCAAAGCTAATCTTTTTATTATAATAATATAATTAATGCTTAATTATTCGTACTAATAATAATAGCATGTTTTGGACAATAACAAGTCTCTGGTTAGTTTTTCTTCCCTTCATAAACTTTTAAAATTGTCGGCATTATGCTCAGCTTTTTCTTTACTTCTAAGTTCTCTAAAAAAAATTTTATAGTCTTCGTTTACTTTGTAGAAAAGTACAATTAAATTGCTAGGAATTTTTGTCTTTCTAATATGCTTTATTAAAAGCCGAATAATTATATATATATATATATATATATATATATATATATATATATATATATATATATATATATATATATATATATATATATATATATATATATATATATATATATATATATATATATATATATATATATATATATATATATATATATATATATATAGTATATATATATATATATATATATATATATATATATATATATATATATATATATATATATATATATATATATATATATATATATATATATATATATATATATATATATATATATATATATATATATATATATATATATATATATATATATATATATATATATATAATATTGCCGAACTTAATAGTTTTAATAGTAGTAGTAGTGTCCCTTGGAGCGTATTTGACACGAAACCCTTGGCAGCCATTGCAACCGATGTATTGGCAAGAAAGAGTCGCAGCGCTATAAGAAAACGTAAACGAACATCTAACGTACGTAAACTTTAACTTATGTAATGTTAAAGCATATGTTAAAACATACTGAAACATTTATCACGTTTTACAGTTTGATTTTTACTTGAAAATTACATTGCGTCAACCTCTCCTTAATTTTGATCTAACATTTTTTTCCTCAAAAAAATTACTAGATTATTATAAAATCTACACTTGATGATATGCCGGTGTAGCTCGAGTGGATAAGGCGGCGAACTTCTGAACAAGGAACTAGAGGTTCGACTCCTACCAAAGGCGGCTATTTTTTTTAATTTTTTTAATTATTTTAAAATACAAAATACTTTCGAAGTTTTATAAAGATTATATACAAACATATGTAACGTAACGATATTATGCACTCACAATAGAGAAGATTTTAAGAATGCTAAAACTTCATAAAACATTAAAAAAAAAAAAAAAACATCACCAGGAGAAAAAATATGTTGCGTATCTATGATAATTGAGACACTTATGTTATTAATGTGCGAATGTAATTAGTCCTAATAAGCTGCGGATGGTCTAAAAAAAAAGTTGTCTGAAACTTAATAAAGAAAAAACTTAACAAGACAGCCCTGCTAGATAAAACATTCAAACTTTCTTTTGACCATTAAAAGTTTATTTTGCTACATTAACTTTTTTACTATAAATATATGCAGCAACTGTTTTTCAAAACGCCTTAATATGCTTATGACGTAATTCAAAAAAAAAACCCAATTAAAAATAAAATTGTTTGGAAAAACTCTTCGTAAAACGTTTTTTGAAACGAATAACTTTCATTTAGTTTTTTTTTTCTTTTGTACAACCTTCTTTTCAATAAATTTCTTTACCTTTCAGAAGGTGACAAACAGAAAACCCACAAAATTTCGCCTAATCCGCTAATAGAAATGGTCGAATATTAATATATAAACAAATATTAAATGCTTTTTGTATTACGAAACGTACGCCAACTCTTAAACCACTGTAAAACTACCTTGCGGTTATCTAATTAAATCCACCAAATCCGTTAATAAAAACAGCTTAATTAATAGATTCAAAACCATCTGATTTTTGTATTATGATATGTGCGCCAACTGTACTCTAAAACCAATAAAACTCGGCCATGTGGTCTTCATATCGGTTATAACAGTTGCAAAGCGAGGGACGACAAGTAAGTTGTATCTACAAGTTTAATTATTGTAATCTTCATTTAAAAAATTAAACTTATTTTATAATTACCATGTTAATATGTTTGAAGTTAATATGTTTTTGACCCAAGAATAAACATTAAGATTATTTTTTAGAAATGAGCAGCCAAGATACAGAAGGTATTCTTTTAATTTTGTATAACATTAATTAATTAAAGAGATAAAAAGAGATGATACGTCAATAATACTGAGATATTTAGCTTATTATTTTATTAAGAAATTACATTAAGATAATTTTGTATATCTTTAGGCGACGAAGAAGTTTCTGCATTTTTTCGAAGTAAGCCATATATATATACTATATATAGTAGCAGTTACATATGTTCTAAAAGTGGCGGAGCTGTACTTGATTTACGGTGTGAATAAAACGATGATTTAATTTAGCCGTTTTTAATTAAAATCAACCAAGATATGCCGCCCTACCCTAACCCCGTGAATCAAGTGCACCCCCCTAAAATTTAACTAAAATTAAAAAATATAAAAATTAATTTTTAGAACTTTAAAAGGGTGGACCCAAAACTCAGTTTTTGTTTATTCCGCTATTTTGATTGATGTTTTTGTAAAGCAGTGAACCTTAAAAACGCGTATAAGCTTTATTTAAGGTGTTTAAGCTATAATTTTATAAAACGTGTTTAAGCTAAAATTGACTTTTAAGTCTTCTAACTACTAAACTTTTACGTAAAATGAAACTTTTTGTCATTTACTGAATGTGTTAAATTATAAAACTGTGCAACAGTTTTATAATTTAAGACAAATCTTATATGTTTAATTGAAAAAGTAAATATTTTGAAAATTAATTTTGTCTATATAAATATTAGATGTTCAAGAGATCAGAGCCGAAGAGCTCTTGCCAAGTAAGCTAATTTTGTATGAGAAGGATATGTTACAAAGATATATATTTCAATTTGTTAATTATAACTTTTTTTTAATGTTTAGCGGAAGTAATGGACAAGCTAAGTGAGGAATTTTGTTGTTGTTTTTTTGTTTTTTTTGTGTGCAAATACATTTATGCTTTTTTAGTTTTTTTAAAGTTATTTAGCAACTGACTTTTGACAGTTGTGACAGTTTGTCATCAGCAAGTGACTTTTGTAAATTTTAAATTTATTTTATTTAGAAAAATTAGAAGATTCTGTTGAGAATCTAAGTAAGCAATTTGTTATTGTTGTTGTAATGCTCTTTATTTTTTTTATTACATATTTATTTAACATAAAGTTATTCTATATTTGGCAAGTTAGTTTATTTTAATGTTTATAAGTTTTTCATTTTATTTAGAAAAATTAGAACATTCAATGGGTAAACAGAATTTGATTATATTACATTTGTGTATTATAGATAAAGATATAGCATTTTACTTTCAAAAAAAAAGGTGTATTCTATGGTCTTTTAGCTTTTTTGATACAATTTTTAGCATTTTTTTTTTATAGGGCTTATATTTCAACAACTTAGTAAGTTACTATATTGTTCTTGTGGATTGTTTTTATTATTTTTATTTTTTATTTTTTTTGTCGCTTTTTTCTTTTTTGATTTGTTTTGTTTTGTTATTTTTGCCTTTTGTTTTGTTCCAACTTTATTTATAGATTTCCTAAAGTTGACAAATATTCTGCATGTTAGTTTCTTTCCTAATGTTAATGAGTTTTTTTTATTCTATTGAGAAAATTTAGAAAATTCAATTGGTAAGCAAAGTACACTTATGTTTCTTTTTGTTTAATTTTAACACACATTTTTTGATGTTTGTGTGCGGTTTTATCACTCTAAAATAAATTGTTTAATTGATTAGTATATGTTAGTTTATATTCACTAAAGCGTCATCTGCAGTACCATCAGGTAATGTGTTTTGCATTCTTATGCAGTTTTAAGAGCGTTATGTGTGTTAAAACTTAAAGATAGCATATCTTAATTTACAGATTACTTTATTTATTTATTTTTTTTGTCTCTACATTAGCACCTCAAGCAATAATATCAGGTAATCTGTTTAGCATACTTATGCAGTTTTATGGGTTTTATGTGTATTTAAACTTAATCATTATTGTTTTCATGCAATTACATAAATGTTTAACATATGTTACTTTATACACTTTTTTTTTTACCTTTACAATAGCACCAATGTCATCATATGCAGTACCATCAGGTAATGTGTTTTGCATACTTATGCAGTTTTATGAGTGTTATGTGTATTGGAACTTAAACATTACTTTTTTCATGTTTGTAAACAATTACATAAATGTATAACATATGTTACTTTATACACTTTTTCTTTTTTTTACTTTCACAATAGCA